ATGTATAGCCTCTGCATGTAGATCATTTTGTCAGGTTGCATGCTTACTTTTTTGTGTTTTGTCACAGTTTGCAGGCACAGCTAAAATGAGAATGGCCAATGCCTCCCTGCATACAAAAACAAATATATCTGTTTTGTCCGAGTTCACAGGCATTGCTAAAAGTGATAATGGCTTTAGTCAACACTGCACACGAAAGACTTTTGTCAATAAGCTTATTGGAGGTAGAGGGTGATTCTTAATCTGATTATTCTAACCTGTGCTACCTGTCACCATCACAGCAAGTCATATTGTCATTTTGTTTTAGCGGAGACAACAGAGTCTGATCATCTTGTCCTGATGCAACACAAAGAGACTATGGATTTTGTGTCAACTGATCTGTTCTGCATCCACAGTTAAACACAATGTAGCTGTGGAAGCATCCATCAGATGTGAATCTAAATGAAGAGATTTCCTCACTGGAATTACCTTTTCCCCTGTGAGCTCAAATATCCCCTAACAGCCCATTAAAAATATGTAGCTATTATTTTGTAGATCTGTTGTTTTCGATATCATAGGACTTATGCTTTATGTGTATAAGAGTGTCTGGTTTGCTTGGTAGTGTTCTGTGAGCTTCATAAAATCATGGAGGAAATAAAAGAGCTAGGAGTTGACTGCCTGTCCTGTCATGAAGATCAATTGAAACAACTTATCTTGTTGTTGCAGTAATGCTCTCCTAACTTCCAAGTTGTACATTAGATTAAGAGAAGCCACAGAACAGCTGTGTTCAGGAAAGAGCCAGAGTGTTCTGCAGCAATGAATAAAGGCAGAACTGGGCGCATTCTGGGAACTTGTTTTCAGGCAAACACTGGGATCATTTAAGGCAAATTCATAAGCAGTGAACCAAATCATTTGAATTTGTTCAAAACGAGAAGTCAATATCGAGAAGTCAATATCGTACATTTTCCATAGCCAATTTAGCATATGTTTCTTATTTTGCTAAGTAATTCCAGTGTTAAAATAGTATTTTAACAGGTAGTGGTGGTTTTAATGCGGGTCCCTGGTGGATAGTATTGATGAAATGTATGACATTATTGGCAGGAACATGTTGGTTTGGTGCAACCATCTGATCAGTAATAGGGAGACAAGAGTTTATTCATTCCTAGATGTGGCAATGGCAAGTCACACAACATTGGAGCAGAATGCATATATATATATATATATATCACTATTTGTGGAAGGTGCAACCAATTTTCTGGTTGTTGACAAAAGTGAGATACATATTTAGTTGTCATTTGGTTCCCGTCCTCTTTGTCAGGAAAAAATACACTATACATGGTACTAAGGTACCAAAAAAAAGTACCAATTTATAATCCTGTTTTATAAAGATTAAAAGCTGAGACTGCTATGATTTTAGTTATTTAGATTGAGTTAAGCACAGAACCATAATGGCAGTTTGTCTATAGATATTTTGGCCTTAAAACCAAGCTATTTGTCTTGACACCCAACTTTTACTCTGAGCAGTGAAAATAGCTGTTGTAAGGTATCTCGAACACCATATTAAGTTTTAGTCATTTGACTATAAAACACTCTTACTTTTTGTAGTTGGTTATTTGTGCTCAGAAATGCACCAGTAGTTGACTGTCTGAGTTCAGACCCAGTTTCACCAAAAAAAAAAAAAAAAAAAAAAAAAAAAAAAAAAAAAAAACTTGAGTCAGTTCCAGTGGCTAACATCTTTGTTACCAATGTTTCATGGTCACATGCACACATCTTACCCTATCAGAAACAGTGTTACGTGCAGCAATCTTGTAGACCCATGAACACTTTCTTAGCTAGGGAACTGACTTACTAGTATATTTTTTTACCGAGCCAGAAATCCCTGCTATAAGCCTAAAATCGAACTTGTGATTCAATTCTTTTGTGACACTGGCTCCAGTATTCCTGGTATCATGTCTGGCTCGGGTTTCCTATGTCTCAGTATAGACAGAGTTTGCTTGAAATGACAAATGGTGCCATTATGTTTTGACTACCCAGGTTCTCCACCTATGTAATAAATGCCCTGATATTAGGTCAGATATCCAAGTTCTAAGCCTTTCATCCTGATTATTGTCTTGTCAGATTCCAGACTCCATTAATTCTCTCTCAGTGATGTTTTTTGTCCATATTTGTACATATTTGGAAGTGCATCATATTTTTTCAGCATCCGTATTTCATGCAGAATTTGATATTGTGTGTATGTATCAAAATGAAACATTTAATGTCACACAATAAGTTATTGGACAACTGAAAACATGCACATTGATCAGTGCTTGACTATCTTGGTAACACACAGTGTAGTCGGTAAACTACATGCATTGGGATTGGCTGCAGACCTCCGTAACAAGGATTGAAGAGATTTAGTCTGATATGATTATCTGAAGTCACGATCAGGTTTCTTCCTGATCACCATAAAATGGCCAGCTGACTGCACACATTTTCATAATCAACTTTCATGACGATAAATTGGTTTAATTTGACCTGAGCACGATTTGCTAAGCAGCACATTCCCTGTAGATTGCGGCCCTTTAATGATACGTATCTAATCAATTTCTTTTTTCAAGTGATTTCTACTGGCTTGAATACAAGCTACCTTGGAGATGATACATTGTATGTGACATTCATCATGACAGGGAAGCATTTTCATCTTTAAAAGCTCTCTGCTAACTGCTTAAGTCTGGTCCTAAAGGAACCATCTCGATAGAAATCTGTCCCTGTAGACATGTAGCCTAGTATTTTAACCTGATTTTAAAAGAAGTATTGCATATGGCTTCATCTAAAGTGCCTGGTAAATTTCATTTGTGAATGTTGATAAAGGGTTCTTTACATGGTTGCTAGTTGCACAGAGGCTTTTTTATTCTAGAAAATCAATTACTACACAAAGGTTAAAGAATTCAATGCATTCAGGATATGAATTTTTTGTCTTGTTTCAAGATCCTCGCAAAACTCTTGATAATTCAATTCTGCTTTCAAACCTGATTTCCTATCTGTTTGGCGATACTTATGTCATGTTTAAAGATTCTTGGAAGAGGCTGTTGGCAGCTTCCGTTGTTTCCTTGTAGAAATCCGTATCATATTCATTTGAAATATCATTGTTCTCAGAACTTTTCTTTTTTCTTTGTTGTGTTACTAGCATTCTACTATCGATTGTATCCAATACTCTATGCCTAAGCTTGTTTTATACCTTGAAATAATTTTATTGACTCAGCTTTGAGCTGTTATTTCTTTCAATGAGAGGCTTTACGTAAGCCTGGTAAGCTTTGGATATCAATATCACATTGCTAGTATGTTTTAGCTGCGTGGCTTCAGTGGAAAAAAAATGATTCACTGACAGCCTTGAGCTGATTAAAATGTACCCGAGTTCCAGCATTTAAAAGTTGATAGCTCATCATGAATACAGCTGAATTTGATTGGGTTTAATGAAGTGTTGGGTTTAATAATAGAAAGGGACTTTCATATGGCCTGCATGTGGCCCACTTAATTGTGGTGTTTTACTGTATGTTTACTAGTAGTTGTATACTAGTATATCTTAAATATCTAAAATTAAGAAATTTTGGATTCTCTGGAAAACTGCCTCTTGGTATCAAACAAATTTCATTTCTTAATTCACAGGACAGTTAAGCCTGTTACAGATGGGCACATTTGTGAAATGTGGATATATTTTTCTTTTTTTAATGTCATACAAATTGAGACATTGTGTCAGATGGTTAATATCTTCATTGAGTGCTTTCTTATGTTGCTAGAAATAAGCTCCAATATTTTAAAATGCTGTTCTTTAGAAAGGAGCCAAAAGGGGATTGTTTTGCTGACTGTATCAAAGGCTTTGGTAAAGTCTATGATTATCAAGTGATTTTGTCTGCTTCTAACATTTTTCATGGTAAATAAATGAGAAAGCATGTAAAACAGGAATCTGGTATTTAACTGGTATTTGATACAGTGCCTAATGGCCCATCATCAAATTGAGAATATTTCTGAATCCTTATTTATGCACGCTGAGAGTCACTGTGGTCATTTTTTGCCAAGTTGCCAATCAGGCTTATCCTAATTGATTATCTCTGTCACAAAGGAATTAAGAGCTGTTTTAAGGCCAAAAAAGCTAAACCTTGTATAAACTGCAGAAAAAAAGAATTGATCCTGCTGATAGTAGAGAGTGGTAATACGTATAATACATTTGTAGCACAACAATTTTGAATAAAATATTAATGGTCAAGATTTAAATGTGAACTAAATTGCTGAAAATTTACAAAATCAAAGATATAGTGATGTTGTGATCTTTCACACAGTTTTTTAAATAAATGATGAGGAATTTTAGTTTTAAATGAAGTACTAGTACTAGTACTTTACTAGTAGGTAAGTTATTGGAAGAAGCTTGAAATGATAATGAAAAAAGCCTTAAAGACTGAATCACCAGTTTATTTTCTGGAGTACTATTGTGTATCTTGCCTAAGGTTAGCATGGCTTTGTGCTTTTTTTTTTTATTTCAGGATAAACCTTAATAAGTATTTATTGGAAACTTTTTAAAGAAGAGCTTCTGATAATGAGCTACGTTTTTTGAAAAGTTAAATTATTCTGAGTGAGTAGCAAAATGTATTGTGGTACATGCTTGTAAGGTTAGACTAATACCTTAAAATTCCTCTTACTAAGAAATTACTCATCCAAAAAGTTGTGAATAAAATTCACAACTCTTGATCTGTCTCACTCTGTAATGTATTCATTACTGGTATAAGAAGGCACAGAAGTGCTTTAGTAATTATTCAATAGATTTAAACAACAGTTGATAAATCATCAATTTTTTGTTAGTATTACAGAAAAATATTGATTCAAAACTTTTAAAAGTGTAAGGTTTTTGTAAATGAAATTAAATTTTAATAAGTGTCAAAAATGATCTCATTAAAAAATTAAAAACAGAGGCATTTGAAATTTCAAAGTAATTACTGTATACAACGTGTAATTCTGGTAAATGAATGGTTCAATCTGGTGTTTTTCAGAGTGCGTGTGGAGTACTTCACCAATGAGAAGTCATTCAAGGAGAGGCTGCAGCTTTACTTTATTAAGAATCAAAGATCCAGTAAGTAATTCTCACCCGATTATTCACAGAAGCTTCCTTACAATTGTTATCTAATTTCTTAGAATTAGAACTAGCTCTCATTCTAAGAAACCGCAGGTAACCTTTTATATTGCAGCCTGAGGCATTAGTTTCAACTACAGGTGCCCTGTTTTTTCTTTGGATATTGGTAAAGATAAGATTTTCTTTTCTTACAAAATGCATTTTTACTGTTATTTTGGTAAGTTTATGTAAGTATGAGCTACTGTTATTATTCATATTATTATTTATATTTATGTCCATTCATGGCCATTTTGATTATAAAGTCTAACTTAAAATGTATTGCACTACATAATTACCTTTGCTTTCTGAATGGAATTATCACTAATCTTTTCTCTTCATGTACAAACATGTTGAATTGCTGGGATTAGTCTGGTTTTTGTTTGATTTGCACAATTTTAGAAAAATATGTCTTTACCGCATCGTCTTACATTACCAGTAACCGCAATGGAAAGTCTAACCAAAACCTTTTCACAAAAGAGAATATTGATTTCTTAATGAATAGATAAATATTTTTCCTAAGAATAATAATGTTATGAATTATTTTTGTAGATCGCCTTGGTGAAGATGATATGATATTCATGTTGAAAACCTATCTTTCTCTTTAGGTCTGCGCATTCGTATTTTTAATTTGGCCATCAAGTTATTGACTTGTGTGCTCTATGTTGCCAGGGTGATGACAGATGACCCGCGAATGAATTCATGGTACCATGTACTTAATATATATGTTTTGGTGTAACTCTGATGGCAATTCATCTGTGTAGTTTGCTGATCATGATCATAAGTTTAAACTTTTTCTCTTTCTGAGGAAGGTCATGGTGTGAACAAAAGTTTTTGAGGCCATCAAGTTATTGACTTGTGTGCTCTATGTTAGCTTCAATTTGGATGTAGAAAGCAGAAAGTTGAAACTTATGGTCATTATGTTTAGGTGTTATTAGTAAGATGATGTGTAGATAATATATGTATGTATGTATAGTGTCTTGTATGAAAGCATGTTATACCTGCCACTTCTTGGTATTATAATATTTGGTTTTATTGCTGTTTTTATTTTTACTTTGTTTTTTTTTTCATCACACATACTCACTAGAGTTGTCATATGTTGTGCAGTATGTTTAAGGAAGAGGGGGTTTGTTGTTGTGTTAACATTATAATCGCATTTAATCAGTTGTAAAATAATTTTACATTTAATATATAATCCCTCTCCCCAGGATCAACTTTTTCTGTTTGTCTGCCTGTCTGCCTGTTCTCCTTTCCATTTGTGGGTAACATTACGTGATGCCATGTATTTCTACATTCTAGTTTACTAGTAGTTTCAGAAAAACTGTGCATGTAAATCTACTGCAGCATGTGAGTTGTACAGCTCTGTAGACTATATGGTGTAGGCCTGCTTCTTTCTGTTTGTGTTACGGTGGACCACCTTAGTGATATTCTGTATAAAGGGATTTCACTGTGTTCTGGGGATAGATTTGTGATTGGTTTACCATGTTCTCATTTATATCACTGAGTTCACTATAGAATTTTACTAAACCAGCATAGGTTACTGAACCTGATAACTCAACCATGTTATATACTAAAACCATCATATATATACTAGACCACTATGTCATGTGGGTAGACCTTGCATTGGTCAAGGTCATCACTATTTTCCATTTCACTTCAGAATGAGTTGTATGTATCACATTTCTGTGATGTATTAATTATATATTAGACATTATTTTGTAATGTGTATTTAACATTTATGTTATGGGTGAAGCCATCGTTCAGAAGATCACCATTACATTAGCTCAAGCATGCAATCGTAATGACTCCATTATATATCTGAAATGATATATCATGATACTAGGTGTTATTAGTAAAGGTGATTCATCATATAGAGAGTTAATTTACGTTTCTTTATAGTTCCTATTTTGGTGATTCTGAATATGTCCAATTTTAAAGTGCAACTTTTTTCCAAATGATGTGTTACTTTGTATGTAGCCAGAGCTTTGAAATTGTACCAAACTGTAAATAATGCATACAAGCCATTTCTTTGAAAAATATTTGTAAGTTGGTCATCAATTGGAGAATGTTTTCTGTTGACTAGGCATGAGATTTCTGAAGTTTTCCAAAATCAGATTTTCAGATACATGTTAATTAATTGCAGCTTGTTGGATTTTGCAAAAGAAAACTTGGTATTATTATTATTTATTTTTCATTTTAGTTTTAATTATTCGTGTAACTGCTTTATAGAGTGCATTCAGAAAAGTGGACTAACAGATCTGCGAATCAAATATGGCAGTCACTAAAAAGCTTGCTGCTTAATTCCCAATTAGACATTGAATAGACTCCCTGCGGGGATTATGCAACAAACGTTCAAGTGGGTCGGCCATATTTGATCTGCGGATCTGTTAGTCTGCTGTTCTGAGTGTGCTCATAGGCTTCTAACCATGAAATTGTGTGTGATGTACATTTATGAGCTGTCTGCCTTGCTGCTGTGTTTATGATCTATTCATGTATGTAATATGTATGTTTCATGTTTACGCAACATTTTGCTGAGATGACTTCATGATTAGCTGTAATGACCCATTTCCATGTTCTGGCAGCAACTTTTGACAGAATGTCAATTTCTGTAATGTTGTGTTGATAGAACCACCAATAAAATGTCCATCATATTAAGCCGTTATCAAGCAGTCATCAATAATTCGAGATGCCTCACATACTTAGTAATCACCGTAGACTGCTGTGTACAAAATTACATGCGATATCAATTTAGCAGCTAATATTCCTGTCTCTTTTTTATCGTTGATTGCAAGTACTGGTAATATTCCTGTCTCATTTTCATTGCTGATTGCAAGTAATATTCTGGTGTCACTTTGGTTGGGTTAAATGAAAACGCTGTCTGAGCCAGAAAAACTTTTGTTTGTAATGTAAGCTTATGTATGGATGAAGTATGAGTTATGTCACTGGTTATAGTGATAGACTGAAGTTGAGTAGACAGCCAAGTATTTGGTTGAATTCACATGAGAAAAAAAGTTCAATTTTACTTCAAATTATTTCCTTGAGTTAGTTTAGTATCAGCTCCATGGGATTTTGCTGCCAAAATGTATTTTCCTAGAGTAAACTTCAATCATCTACTCACGAATTATTTCTTCACCCATCCCTGCAGTTGTATTTGATATTTTATTCCATTTTTAAGTTGCTTATTTAATTTATAATGATTGGCCCATCATTATAACTACATCTGCTGTCATGCAGATTTCCTCATTTTTACACAAGAAAGTGGCAGGGTGTTTTGTATCACGGCCCTGTGCCGTGTACAATACAGACGTTACAAGCTGGTAATGGCTAACCAACAGTGAAAAAGAAAAATGATAACAACACAAGGTACACTTCAGATACATTTTATCTGAATTGGGGAATACAAGAAGCTTTACTTGACATGAATATAATTAAGGTATTTCAAACATGTGAAGAGAATCTCTAGAAATTAATTTGTCAGGAAAATCCCATGAAGTGTACCTTTTAAGCATGCTTTCATTCTTAAAGAAATAGAACAATGTGTTTTTCATAGTTTGGTATANAGTTTATATTGATGGGTATCTATTTTTTTCTTTTGGGAGACCATCAAAATGGAAGATGGATCAATAAAGATACTTTAGAATGCTGTCAAAAATATTTCTGGATCTGCTTCTGTTATTGACCATGTTACCTGTTGTGCATAATGAAAAATCAGTGTTGACTGACTGCTATTATAAGCATTATTTATTGTTGCATCAAAATTGACAAAATGACCTCTTTTGCATCTTTTTTTTCTGTTTTTTGTCTGTACATTTGACAGCTTTGCTGCCTTGTTTGTTTAGTGGCTTTCAATACTAACATATAAATGAATATTGTAAAGCAGTAAGGCAGCAGAACAGGCTCATAATTTGGTGAGGAGGGTTCGAGGGATTAGAAAGAAAAAGTAAGATTTGAATCCAAATTGGATGTAAGTCCTGTGCCATGTCTCAGCTTGCCACAAAAGGTTTTTTTTTTTTTGATAAAAAGACCCCCACCCCCATTTGAAATTGCTGGCTAAGGGCCTGCACAATTATACTGCCATTCTTCTTACTGTTTCAGTTGTGAGAGGATGGTTGGAAAGAAGAAAATACTCCAGAAAACTGGAAGTAAAGAGACAGCAGGACCGGTATGTCTACCAGTTCTTGCAGGGTGTTTATGACACTTGTGTAGCAGTGTTCTCCCAGCTGGATTCTCATAGAGTACAGGATATACAGAGACAGGAAGAGGAAGTAGAAGCAGAAAAAAGGAGGAAGACTCTGGAAGAAATAAAACGGTTTGAAACTTTGATAAATAATTTTTTTCTTCCAGTAGCATTTATTCATTTTAGGTGTAAAAGTTTGCAGAAAGGCAATTATGTGATACTTATATTACATTGGTTATGAGTTTCTTATTTACAATTTACATCGGATTTTTAATAAATCAGAGACTGAACAAAACTTGTGAACTTAGATCAAAATCTTATAAGAATCCAGTTGCATTAAAGTCTCTCAACACTGGTGTGTTTCCACTTATTGACTATCTTTTACAAGGGCTTACATGTAGTACAGATGAGGTGCAAATTAAAATCAGAATTTAAAACAGGAGAAAACTCAGCACTAACATTATGAGAACTAAAGATTTGCTTACTCATTTTAACAAAAGACATTTTGGTAAGCATTAATTTAATCTTTTTAACCCAAAGCAAACTGTAAATTATAGGAAAGAAGAAAACAGACGTTCAATAGAGGCTCTGGACTCCATTTTGGATCAGTACGATGATGAAAAGACTCCAGACAATGTCTATTATCAACCAATGGATGGTTCATTTGATGTTGCCATGGAAACCAGCACTGAGCAGGCACACTACATGCCAATGGCCGGCAGCGATGATGAAGTTTTTGGGAGCGACCATCATGTTTATGGCAACATTAAAAGAGATGGAATCAGTCAGGTGTCAATCAGAGAGAGAGTCCCGCCTCCCAGTTCAGAGGAAGCAGCCTATGCCATCTCCCATCTTTTCCCAGGTAAAACTGTACCACTGGTCCATATGGCAATTAACTTTTTCACCATCTGGAATACTATAATTATACATTTAAATAACAATCTGTATACTAGATGCATTTTAATTTTTACAAAATTAATATGAAACTTGTGGTACATGTATGTCATAATAACAGTACTGCATCCATAGTTTGCTTATGGTTTGGCACAACTGTCAGAAGTCTAAAAAGCAAATTTTTGATCTGATCATAAGAAAATTAATGCAGATTTATTTATTACCCAGCTGTGGTATTGATGGTCTTTGTATTGTTTAATCGAAAGGAGAAGACAGGAAAATGTCATTCGAGCACCTGCCACCAGCGCCACCTATACCTATTGGCCTGACCAGAGAAGAGTACTTACACTTTGTACAAGAAGCAAAGGTACTGACCCCCTTCTCTCTCTCTCTCTCTCTCTCTCTCTTTCTCTCTCTCGTGCCATAGCAATAGTCAGAAGGTTCACTGGTTCTAAAGTGTACTGACAATAATTCAAAGTAAAGTTCATGAAAGGTGCATGCATATGATATGCATATAATGCATATTTATGGACCAGTGAACTTTCAGATTAACGAGATGCCCCGTCCCCCCTTTCTTTCTTACACACACATACTAGTAATTAGTACTACCAGCGTGTACGCTGGCGGTACTCAT